AGGAAGGGGCAGCCATCTGTCGCGACTGGCTGGGGGGTGAGAGGCAAAAGAAAAGAAAAATGAGAGCACAAGTTAGCTAAATGTTGTCTAACATAAACCACTTATGGTTTTCTGGACTGTGGATGAAAAGCAGTCCATCATTACTAGTCTTTAAAAAGGGACTAATCGATCACCAAGGTGGCAATATGGCTCAAGGAGGCCATAGCCAGAGTTAAATAGGCAATCACTGTTAAGCACTGAAAAGCCCCAGTAAGCTGCAGCTATAATAAGGCCTACTGCAGCAACACCTAAACCTATTTTAAGTAGGCGTTTAGCACCATGACACCATGAACCACTAGTCGGAACCACGTCAGGAGATGGTTCTGAGACAGGAGAAACAAGCTCCTCGGGTTCAGGAGCAAGATTCTGCTGTGTCGGGACCACGTCAGGAGATGGTTCCAAGGCCGGAAAAAAAAGATCCTCGGGTTCAGGAGCAAGATTCTCCAAGGCCGGAAAAAAAAGATCCTCGGGTTCAGGAGCAAGATTCTCCAAGGCCGGAAAAAAAAGATCCTCGGGTTCAGGAGCAAGATTCTCCAGCTGCAGAGGTTCACCAGTGATGTTGTGAACAGCAGCTAATATTTTTTCTTCCTGCTCCCTTCTCAGCTGATCCTTAAGATTATTAATTATTTCTCCTTTAATTTTAAGATGTTCATAAAGTTCATCTATGAGATCTTCGTTATGAACAATCTTGAAATTTTGCTTTTTGACTTTTTCTTCCAGCCAAAATATTTGCAGTGTCTGACTTTCTGTTGTGTTCTCATGCATTTTAGCCTCCAGAGATTCCACCTGTGACTGCTTATCATCCAGTGTCTGTCTCACCCGGCGCTGAAGAGTACAAATTTCTCTTTTCAGCTCAACTGTGAGTTCTATCTTCCGAAGTATTTCCCTATATTGTTTTTCTATTATCTTTTCTTTTTTTATCATGTCATGGTGCATTGTCTGAACATTCTTTTCCTGTTCCTGGAGTTTAGCCTCCAGAGATTCCACCTGTGTCTGATTTTGTTCAGCCTGAGCCTTCATGTGTTTAAGCTCATCTCTTGACTGATGGAAATTATCTTTATAATTATTCTTTTTGAGCTTTAGGGTGCTCAACTTCAACTGGAGTTGTTGAATTTTCATTTGAAGCTCCATAAATGTTTCGTTTGACATTTCTTTAAACTCTTAATGCAAACTGTCGACAAGAAAAAATGTCTGCTTAATTGTTTAAGTTTAAAAACAGCCCCTTTCTGAAAGGTTTCTGGTTTGTTAAACACAACTCGCTGTTTCTGAAAATGTTCCAAGTAAAACTGTGTTTGCAAAGGTGAAGAGGGGCTATTTATAGACTTTTGTGGCAGCGAATTTGACGTCAGCGCTCTTCGAGCCTTTGATCCTTTGTTCGATCACAGCATCACATGACAGCTGTGCGTAATTCTGCGCATGCTCAGAGAATACCCATTGTGATGCACGGTTTTGTTTTGTTTTGAATTTTTTTAAATACCCTGAAAACAGTCCAAACAGTGTTGCCAACTTAGCGATTTTGTCGCTATATTTAGGGAGTTTTCAAACCCCCTTAGCGTCGTTTTTTTTTTCTAAAAAGCGACTAGCGACAAATCTGGCGGCTTTTTCTGGTGTTATTGGAGACTTATTTATGACGACTTTTGACGTGAAACCGCTGTTACTCTCAACAAGCAGCGGGTGCTGCCGTGGGCACCTCGCTCGTGCCAAAGCGCTCACAGGCGGAGGATAGTCCTCCTCCAGCCGCTGTCAGGGCAGGAGATGTTCACGTGCGTCCAAACTGCAAATGAATCGCGCACGAGCAAAGCCGCCGCTCCCGCACTGACTGTAACGCAGTCAATTCTTCTTTTACTGTTATGCTGTTTTGTGGATCACAAGGTTTAAAACTACTTGTAAACACACACACACAGTAACTCCACCCTAACCTGCAGCTGCAGCGCAAATATCAACGAAAATTGTTTGGAAACGTGTCCTGGAGTTTACAGGTGCAGACAGTGCAACAGCTTCCAGGTCATTTATTCTGCCAATATGGCAAGAAGGTCATAACTGCTTCAAGCACTGTCTATATCAGGGGTAGGCAACGCCAGGCCTCGAGGGCCGGTGTCCTGCAGGTTTTAGATCTCACCCTGGGTCAACACACCTGAATCAAATGATTAGTTCATTACCAGCCCCCTGGAGAACTTCAAGACATGTTGAGGAGGTAATTTAGCCATTTGAATCAGCTGTGTTGGTTCAAGGACACATCTAAAACCTGCAGGACACCAGCACTCGAGGCCTGGAGTTGCCTACCCCTGGTCTATATGATCTGGTCAGAGAGGCTGACTGCATCACTGCTGATGATGAGTACTAGCGGTTCTGAGACAGGAGAATCAAGCTCTTCACGTTGAGGACCAAGATTCTCCTGTGTCGGGACCACATCAGTAGATGGTTCTGAGACTGGAGAAACAAGCTCCTCAGGTTCAGGAGCACTACTATGGCAATTTCCCACATGCCAAAGCAACGGAGGAATGTGCTTCATTTGAGCACGATGTAGCCAGATGGGCTACTCGCCTTCCGTTTTTTTTCTTCTCTCACTCTCTCTCTCCTGCGCTCGTTCTTTTCGCCGCACAACTCGGTTAATTGGGAACCCACCTGCACATTGATTGCACGGTGGCGCTAGCCCGTATAAAGCTAAGCCGATGTTTTGTTGGATTATTTCCTCCATTTAGCGCAAAACAGCAGTAAATGCTGGCGTACTGCGACGGACTGCTCAGCAAGAGCCGATTATATGACAGCTACAGGTATGCTCTCGCTTAACCTCAGATTCCCTCCGAATACTGGAATTTGTGTTCATAACAGGACGTGGCCATTTTGGCCACGAACAAGCTGAGAGGGAGTTCTTTTGTTTTTCTGTCACTGCACAACAACAAAGATGCATAAAATTCATTGATATTGTTAATTATTGCTAATGTAGACCGCTCATAGTTGTCCAGGATTGTCATGTAACCTGCGAGCCCACAAATCCCATTATTACAGTGATGACTGCAAACACGATCTGAATGTTTAAGCTCAGAATGTTTGAAAGTACACACTAAAGAAAGTGGTTACATTTCTCAGTTTGCTCTCATTAACATTGGAGAAGAGCGGCTGTGAGGCTTGATCCTGCACTGTGAGTGTTATGCCTTTTGGTCAAAAGTCAGTAGTTGGTGCATAGTCTGATTAAGTTACATAAGCAAAGTGATAAATGAGTTCAAAGTTAAGAAATATATTATAAGTGATTCATGCTAACAGTTAAAATGTATGGGTTCGTAATTTGCTCAGAGTGAGAATTCGTTACCACAAGCGATCTTTGTATTGTATGTGCGGAAATGGGAGCAAGGGAGCGCTCTGATTATTAACCCATCTTTGAGGTATTTTCTCCGTTATTGCCGTGAGTTCATGTACACGCTAAGAGTGCCCTACACGCTTGTACCTTGGGAAACGTTCGTCTTTGCGAGTATTAGTATGTTCAGAGATAACTTTTGTCTTTACCTGGAGTGAACTGCGATGCTAATGTAACGCACGTGTTAAGCTAGGCTAATCAGTAAGTTTGTCATTAAGATGTGTATTAGCTAGCAATTTATTTTCATTTTCTGTATTTTTCAGTTACAAATAAGAAATGGCAAGGAGAAGCCTTGAGAGATAAGGCTTTAAAGGATCTTCATTAAAAGCAAGAAAAGCAAGCATTGTGTGGAAGATCTCCTCTATTTTGTTCGCTAGCTGTCTAGCTTCACATGTGTCGTGAGGGCAGCATAGTGAGGCTGCACTGACTTACAAAGCTTGCTCTACCCTAGGCAGTTCAAACACAGAACACGTCTTTGTACAAGCACAAGACACAGCAGGCGCTAAATAAACTAGAAAAGATTTGTCACCTGAACAGAGTTTGTGTGGATTCTATCAGTCATGTGTTAGCAGGGTGAACAGCAGTGGGCTGTGTTTATTCCTAGTGAGTCCAGCTTCTTTACCAGCTTCTGGGGAAGTTGGGATATGTGTGTGTGTGTGTGTGTGTGTGTGTGTGTGTGTGTGTGTGTGTGTGTGTTCAGATTTTTTTTTTTTTTTTTTTTTTTTTTTTTTTTTTTTTTTACAAACTCTAATGTTAGATCTATATGACACAGCCTTGTACCCTAATTGTGCCCTGTCACTATCAAGGCCATCTTATTTTGGATTTCGAAGTAAAAGCCCTGTGAATCTTCATTTTTGAACTACTCTTTCAATGACTTACTAATGCTCTTAAAAGCAAAAGTCGTATTTCCAAATACTATTTGAACTTTATATCAACACTTTCCAACCACAGTCTTTTTCACAGTAATACCATATCAATATCAAGTCAGTCTGATTTTGCCTTTCATAGTAATGGCCCTTTGAAATTGCCGATATTTGACTTAATCTTCTAACGATTCAAAATGCTCTCAAATGAAAAATTCCACTTTAGATCAACAGTATACAGACCCACAGTGATACCATATCAATATCAAGTCATTCTGATTCTGCTCTCAAAAATAAAAGCCTTTTCAAATTGTCCACAATTGACCTACCTTTCAGTGATTTCAAAATGCTCTAAAATGGAAACTTCCTGTTTCCACAGGGTAATTCTACCTTAGATCAACAGTATACAGACCTACAGTGATACCATATCAATATCAAGTCATTCTGATTTTGCCTTCCAAAGTAAAAGCCTTTTCAAATTGTCCACAATTGACCTAACTTTCAGTGATTTCAAAATGCTCTAAAATGGAAAATTCCAGTTTCCACAGGATAATTTCACTCTGTATTTACAGTATAAAGCCCCACAGTGATACCATGTCAATATCAAATCAGTCTGATTTTACTTTCCAAAGTAATGGCCCATTGAAATTGCCCATATATGACTGACTTTTGTAACGATTTTGAAATGCTCTAAATAGAAAAAAATCCTGTTATCCGCATATTGTAGCATCATCCATAACTGTGTCCCAATTCAGGGGATGCATTATGGGTAGTAGTAGTAGCAGCTAGGCTAGTCCGTTTCTATGGTAACGTGCAATGTAAAGTTTCGTCGTCACTTTCTTTCTATTAAATATCTCTGGTAACGTTTAATATTGCTGATATCGCAGTAAGATACTCGAACCTTTTTTCCGTGACGGTTTGGGAGTGTGTTTAAAATAGGACATTAGGGTGACCATAAACAAATTGTGGTTTAACTGAGCACAATTACTTCGTTTAGATATTAGGCTTTAGCTAACTTTTGGCTAGTTTAGCTATAGCTAGCTAGTTAGCGAGCATAATTTCTGAAAATGGTAGTATTATAAGGTTCACCTAACTGAACAAATATGGGAAATAAGATATGATGTTCTCGTAATTTGGAGCTATCCAGACACTAATGACATTTGCCAGTGTTTTTGTTAAACACTTCAATTAAACATTGACATGGATAAGACTAAGATTTGCAGCAACCGGCGCAATAGTAAGTGTAATTTCCGTTTACTCCTCAGGCTCTTTCATGTATTTGTGGAAGGACAAATGTATCCCTGACTGGCTATATTACATTCTTCCGTTTTCAGCTATTAAGACAGATCTCAGTTTGCTGCTGGAGTGTCTCAAGTTTCAGATGAAATGCCCCGATTTACAGAAACAAGCCCTTCTCACTATTCATTCAATCTGCGAAAAGAGAGGTAATAATGAACAGTCAATGACATAAACGTACTTTCAACTTGAACTGAACCCGAACACATCTGTCATATGAATACATGTATTTAGTGAGATATTTATATAGCATAAGGTCTTGACATGGTAACTGATGACTGTCTCACTTTAAATTGGGAATATTTCAGAGGATAATGTGGACCTGCTAAGAGAAATGGGAGGTGTGGCATTTGTGTATAACCTCTCCAAATCCAGCATTGTTCATCCAGATGTTAAGGAGACTGCTCTCTTTACACTTGGCACACTGGCAGAGGCCAACGGTAGGCACGTCTGATATTTGTCCAATCTAAGTTCAGGGAGGTTTATTTTTTTTTAAAGGATGCAGTTTCTGGAATCTTCCGATAATTACGTAACATTCTCACGATGGGACGATCAAGCATCGGAAGGAAGAAATACCTTCCCCCTCCCCCAAAAATTAAAGGCAGCTCTGTGGTCCTTAATTGATATCCAACTTGTGCTTTATGTGTGTAATATGTGTTTGTGTGATATCTGGTATTTATTAAGTGTTTATTAAGTGTAAATTTTTTAAAATTAATTATAGTTTTAAATTTTAACAACATATAATTTGTCTTTCATTTTGTTAGTCTACTGCAAGAATTCTCTGTGCAAAAATGAGATATTTGCAGACCTTGCTGATTGTCTAATGAATGAGGACATCCCGCTGAAACAGAAGCGACTCTCTGTTTATTTGCTGCTTGTGCTGGTAGCCAACAACAGTAAGATCAAATTCTAAAAAGACAGAATAAGTTTAAGCTACAGGACTGGATCACACTTATCTGCATGTTTATCAGTCACTTTACTCTATATGGTCTGGTTTATTTGGAAGCTCATTAAATTTATTCCATATAACTAGAGCAAAATATAGCATGAATCTCTTTTTTTTTTTTTTTTTTTAGTTCTGAGAGCATGATAATGTTTGCAGCCTTTGTCTGACTTTGTTTTATTGTAGAATTAGGACAGACTTTGGCTCAGAACAGTGGCTGCCTGGACGTTCTACTGAATCTCTTCAGGTATTTCTCATTGCTGAAATCTCTTTTGACCAAAGATAATTTTTAATCACACCACTTGTAGTTACAAAGAAAGGAAAACAACATCAATAAAAACACTCATTTGAGTCCATGTAAGGTAAATGGTATATATTTTGCAGGGCCACTTTCCCCATCTCCACAGAAGCCACTTTCCGAGCAGCTAATGCTACTCAAACTTACCAGCTTTGGACGTCTGTGTCTAGTGCTCTTTGTGGATGTGTAAACAACCCTCAGAATGGTAACATGAGATTTGTATTTTTCTGTCTTGTTCAGATAAGGTGAAATGTAAAATACAGATTTTCTTGCTATAGTGGCAACAATTTTCAGTACTCAATTAAATGTTTTTTTGGGGTAAGCACAAAAGCTGGGGTTTTTTTGCTCTGTTATTTCTTTCTTTTGTATTGCAGAGGAGGGTCAGCGTATTTGTGTGGCAGCGTTTCCTGTGATTAAAATCTGGCTTCAGCAGCTTACTTTTCCACAGACTGAAATTTTTCAGCCAATATGCACATTCATAGCAATGACAGTGGCCAACAACTGTAAGTGCTGAAACTATGTTTTTGTTTTTTTGAAATGTAAAACATCTTAGTTGATCCTGAAATGCAAATGATTAAATGTTCTTCACTTCTTTCTTTTGGCAGCCTGTGTTCAGGAGAGTTTTTCTGCCTGTGGGGGATTAGAAACTCTCGCTCTTACCCTGGGTCGTCTAGCTTCTGCTGCAGATACGAGCTTATTGTCTTGCCAGCTTTCTGTCATTATATCCAAGACTCTGTCAGCTTGCATCACTGATAACTGTGCGAACTGCTCACGAACACATACACATGCACCCTAAATCCACAACTGAATAACCAAAGTATTTCCTTCTTTATTTACAATCTCTTCTTTGTAGCTTCTCTGGCTTCAGGTCTGGCGCAGTATGGCGTGGTCTTACACCTTTTCTCTTTGCTGGCTTGTCCACACTTGGACCCAGAAGACAGGCTTCCTATTTTACTAAGCCTTGGTTACTGCACTGAGGCCTCTGGTGCGACTGCACTATTTTTTTTTTTTCTGCTTAAAATATATATTCCAATTTATATCATAACTATGATATCTTGCATAATGCACATATTGAGAGCACAGTGTTCCTTTTTTAAAGATCATAACACACTGTCCATGCATTTCACAATTGCACTGTGCTTATTTGGTTCTACAGAAAAGCACCAGTCTCAGCTGATATGGTGTGGAGGGCTCCCCATTATCATAACTTTACTCACAGAGGATTCAAGTGAGGAGGTTAGGAGGGCTGCTACATTCATATTGCAAACTTGCAAAAAGGCCAGTAAGTCAAAGCAGTTTTATTTTCCAATAATTCTGTATTCCTATGTATTTTCACATGTCACAGTCACTTTGATATTTCTGTTTAGCTTTTAAGTTACTGTGTATCACAGCAGTCTATCTTATATACATTTTATTTGCATTATTTGCCTCTGTCTTACATTTAAGATAACTGGCATGTATATAGTATGCAAAACATAAGAATCTGCAGTATTTGCCTTTTCTATAAAGCTATGTGCTCAGGAGTGGGTGATCCGATAGCAAAACAGGCTGAAAATGTGGAAGCCCCTAAACACATTGAGGAGATCAGGAGTTCAGCCAGAGAAATGCTACACAGGATTAACCTGCTAGAGAAGAGAAGGGTGAAAGTTAAACATGCATCAGACACATGTATTTGCCAAGTCTGACCAGATCATATCATGGTGATTCATGATGTGTACTTATGTTGATCTTCAGGATGTCGAGGGTAAGCAGGAAGACACAGGTCTACCAAATTCACATGAGGGGCGAGACCAAATATCTCTACCAGCTTTAAATCTGCCACTGCACATACCACAAAATGAGGGTGTTGAAACTGTCCCCAGAAACATAACTGAGAGGGGGAATAATGGTGAAAACAAGGAATTGACCTCTGGGTTAAGTTCTCACAAAGAAACCAGTGAAGGTGACGTCAGGTGTTCAATGTGCAAAGGTACTGGAGCGCTCATGTCTTCTCATATCCTGCCACTAGAGGGAGCCAGTAAGCAACTTGAGGCAAACAGGTTAGTGGAGTGGCTCTGCGTCTGTTATTTATCAGAAAAAAAATGAGGGTGAATGATAAGTTTTTTATTTTTTATTTTTATTTTTTAGTCAGTGGTTTAAGCCACTATTTCCAGTGAGGTACACAAAACCAAGTGAGATTAAGTGTATTGAAGGTAAGAGACACAGTATCACTTATTTTCACTTCCAGGCACTAGAATTACAGTATTTAGCTATATGCTCAGACTGCCTTTACTTCCTCACCTGGTTCCCCCAGTTAACTCACCTGTTTGCACTCTGCAAATCACTCCCTCAATATATACACATATCTTCCCAACATTTAATCTCTAGATTGTGTGTTGTCTGATATCTGAGCTTACTGGCATTCTTTTACTCAGTTAATCCCTGTGAATGTTTTTTTTAACGTGTTCCTGGTGTTTGGATTTTGCCTTTTTATGCAATCTGCACAAGTCTCTGCCTGACCTTTTTTGTATCAGACTGATTTGTGTGTATGGGTGTGTGTTTACTTGCCTCCTGTGTCTTACACTTGGATTTTCAATGAAAAGGACTTTGACATTTTCAGTAAGTGTATAGTATGTGATGTTTTCCTAAATGTGTTTTATGTTTAGAGTTACAGCATACTGATATGAAGAACGTGATCAAAGCCCCAGTCCCTTATAGTCGTTGTGCAGGTAAGAAATAGCACAGAAATCCTATTAATTTTGTATTATTAAAGGCAGAGTTTAAACAAGGACAGTGTTCGACAGCCTTTACTTCTCTATATCTTTGCAAACACGAGTGTCTCTCTTAATAGGCCTCATTTCAAAATAGTTATGACGTGTTAAAGTAGGACCATACATTTAAAGTTCTGGTTAAATGTACAGGTAGGCCTCAGTCAAACAGGCATAGATGGGACCCACTGGCATCACTAGTGTGAAATTTGTCGCAAAGAAGTATACACACTTTTCCCAATGGCCCATCTGTAGACCTGCGAGAAAGAAGAGATTTATTTCACAGCCTCCACTTGCTCCTGATGGTCACCAAAGTACATTTGTTTCTTGCTTCTGGTATATATGTCCAGGTTATCCTGGGGACTGCATCATAAAGCAGCTCGATCCCTTCAAAAACTGCAACGAAGGAGTAACTGGAAAGGCAACTGTACTGAAGAGCTCAGTCACTCTTTGTGGGCTGTGACATTCAGTTACATTTTTGGGGAGGTTGACATGAGGTTATAGTGTAGGTTATGGTGTGGAGTTTGGGAAGTATTTGTGGTTATGACATAAACATGGTTTACAGAAGGAGTTAAACAGAAGTATAAATCCCATGTCCTTCTTTCTCCACATAGCCTGTGTGTTACCTTTTGAGGAAGTGACCAGTCACACTTTTGAGTCTCTCCAAAGCTCTTGCCACCAAAGCTGTGACAGGCACAAGGTTCTCAGAGAGGCCACCAAGCACTTCAGAATGCATCACTGCAGGCTCGTGTTTGAGAAGGAGCACCAGGATCCCGCTGAGGCTGAGAGATATTCAACAGCAGAGCCACAACAAACCTGCAAAAACTGGACTGGTAAAAAGATTCTCCATATGCACAGAAATCCAGTTTATCACTGGATTTCTGTGTATTTACAGTTAACACTAATAGTTCCTGTAGGTCCTAGGTTTGCATTTTTTTTTGTTATATTAAAAAATACTAAAAAATACTAATTATTGTTAGTTTCCTTTAAAGGCCTTGCTGCTAATGGATAGACAGTTTTCAACATGTTTGGTTCAGAAGGTGATGCACTACCTGCTTTATCACTCAATTAGCATCAAAGTTCAGCAGAAAAATTATTTTCCTCAGTGACCACAAAGGGTGCAATTGTTTGCACTTTGATAGGCGTTTGTCATTGGGTAATCTGCTCTCTGTAAATCACACACTGAGATTCTTTGTCTCTTAGACAGGGTCGAATTAGTGGCAGCATATGTGATTTCAGCTAACCACATTTAATGGTTGAGTAATGCCCACATAATCTCTGAAGTTTTCTTATTAATTTCTTGCATTGGTAGTCTTGCAGTGTCTTGCAGGCACTCTTCACTGTTGGTGTGAGAGAAGAACTGAAATGCATGGGTGGAGCTTTACTTTACCTTTGAACAGTATTTTATTGTCATTGTGTGAAAGTTTTTCTTTTTAATCCCTTTGTATCATATTTGATACATGAGTTTCTGACACCTTTATCTCATCAACATGATAAATACTTGTTGATCAATACTTATGGACAAAACTTTTTTTTTTGTCTAAAATTGACATTGTTGTTAACAAGAAGGTGTCAAAAACGCCCACTGTATCAAATATGATACAAAAAAATATAATTAATATATAATAAAAATATATCATACCCAACATGATATAGCAAAAAAAGTGGATTTTGTTATAAGGGTTAATAAACATCTCAGTTCCAAAAAAATCAGAATTTTCTGGCTAATTTTTGATGGGTTGGGTCTTACAGGGTTAAGTTGAAATAAAAAATGCTTAAATGTAAAATTGTTGCCATGTGTTGCTAATAAAATGACTTTCTACTCCACTGTAGGACCTTCTGAAGGTGAAGGAAAGGTAATTAACAAGAACACTCTGCCTGAACACCGATGGAGAAAGCACAATGGTAAGAAATTTACCACAAACACCTGAAAGCACTGTTGCAAATGAGATTTTGTAAATCTAATATACGAGCTATTTTGAACCCTTTGTGGTAATTATTTTGTATCAGAAATGCACCAGTGCAAGTACAAAAAAGAGCTTTTGCCACATACTTGGCACCAGTCACCTGGTAAAGGTGAAGACATTAACACAAAAGTGTGCCTGGACAACACGCAGTGTTTCCCAACTGTGTAGTTCACTGTGGGGTCCATTTGTGCCTGTGTGAGAATGGTGCTGCTAATGTGCAGCACTCTCAGCTAAACAGACTGAGACTGAAAATTACTTCATTCACACCTGGCCTGGAAACCAGGTGCCCCATGATTCCTCGAAATCCATAGCAGTCTTCTAAGAAGCCACAGTTTAAACTGTAACCTTCTATTATTATGTACTCTGTTTGTTCTGTAGAAATCAATTCAACTCACAAGTCTCAGTTTCCGAGGTTTAATATACCTACTGCTGATATAACAGCACTGAGTAAAATGTATGTTGTTGTTTTTCCTTATTTTTTTCCACCACAAACCCTGAACACACTTTGAGCTTTGGGGTGAGAAATATAGTTACGCATTAACTGACAAACATGACAGCTTTTAATGTGTCACCATTGGTCCAGTGCCAGCAAGAGCGTGCAGTTATGGATTGATTGGCAAACATGCCAGATGTTGATGTGTCACAACAAAACCACCGCCTCTGAGGGCATTTGGCAAAATATGAATTCACAAACATAAAAGATGTTAATAGTCACCTCAAGGTACTTTATATTGTAAGGTAAGGAACTTACAATAATACAGAGAGAGGCCCAACAATCAGATGACCCACTATGAGCAAGCACTTTGTGACAATGGGAGTGGTGACAGTGGGAATGCATGCGTGCATAGGCATGTGTCCCTGAAACAAAGAGTTTGTACTGTCACACCTTATCCTAGCAGTTATCCTGTAAGGGAATAATAATAATAATATATAACAATAATAAATAATTATTGGGGGGGGACAACAACATTGCTTTATGGTAGCAACAGTAGACATGCACTGAGAAGATTTTCAGATGAGGCAACAACTTTGAAGCAATAGTTTCTCCATTTATGTTGCATCAAGTAATAACTGCAAGAGCAGTGGCAAATAATGCAGAATGACCCTTCTAACTTTTGGTTTTACTTTACATGTTTTTTACCACCACCAAGGATTAGCATTACAGTTTAGTTTTCGGTATAAATTCTATGGTGTGTGGGATGGTTAATGTCACAGAATTATGTGATACAGCGATAGGAACATAGAAACAAATTCAAGATAATAGAAAGCAGCAGGAATGTCCTGAAAGATAAAGAAATTGAGCAGTTGCGAGCTGCTGTGTTTTAGGTGTAGGACATCTATATGTATAATTTGTAAATTAATTTGGTTGTCTTTTTCTTTTTAGGCGTCACATTGGTTCCACTACAAAGAAGAGCTAAAAAGACAACATTCGCCTCTCATAACAGGACTGGTATGAGATGTTTTCACAAAGCAGCAGTTTAATTATTTAGTCCTGCATTTCTGCCATAATCAGCAACACAGATCCCATCACTCCTCTCTTGGCCCTCCTAAAAAGGGAGAATCCTCCTGAAGATAGATATGCAACATCAGATAGGGGTATTTACAGCTGACTATTTAACTGTGTGAATGTTATGATTGAGAGCCTGTGGTGGGAGCTGTTCTCTGCAGACAAACCAAACAGCAGAGGGAATGTTGAACTGCAGCCAGTGTTCTCACAGTGCAGGCCGGGGCTGGTTCAAAGCAGCACAGCTGCATTAAGCTGTTTCACACTCTGTGTAACACTGTGAGAGATTAAGGCGGATGCTTTTGTGTCTTGCCAGTGACGCTGTAGTGAAACTAGAGGGATTGCAGTGTTTTGTCAGTTTGCAAGTTTGCATCATCTCAAAGGTTGTGTAGTCCAAGAATTGCAGTAGTGTTGCAAAGCAAGGGGCACTGTTTCATAGTGCATTCTCTCTGTGCTGTCACACTGAGATTTACTGTTGTTTTTTTCCATCTCAGCTACAGCGCTTACTCTGAGTCCATTCTTCCTTAGATTTTTCCACTGTCATCCATTTTGCAGCATGTTAAACTATAATACCGCCCCTCCTGCTCTGTCTTCATCTTTTTTTACTACAGCTTAGTACTACTATAAAATCAGTCCTAGGCAAAAAGAGAAATTATCTTGCATATTAAATCTGGGGCAATTGAATATATAATGATAAAACAGGAGTTGTAAAGCTTTGTCTTTTCCAGTAGAGGTGCAGAGATGATTTGCAGTACTGATTGTTTTCTCACCTTTTGTTGGAGGGGGGGAAAAGCATCTCCACTTTTAACAATAACTTTAAATGTAATTTAAACACTGTCAGCGAATTTACTGAAATTCAGCTACACAAATATATGAAACTAGATGCAACGCTGGTGACACACAACAGAAATCCACTGACCTCTGTTATCATTTAATGTCATTGTATTTGCTGATGGCTGTATACAAACTGAATATCAGTGATGTTTAGATTTAACTAATAAATCAGTGCATCCCTGGTAAACATGCTTTCACGTGCTGTGTTTCAGATATTGAGATGGGAGGGAGGAGTGGTCACCATAACAATCTGCAGAAGATTGGCTTGGATCACAGTTCCACTGTAAGTTTTCTATCAGATATGTTTTTGGATGTCGAGAAAAAGCTTTATTGTCATAATCAGTATTGCATCGTAGTTATAACAATAATTGAAGATAAAGGGCAGATACACACAGTAGAGTTTCAGTTTACCAAAGCGCCTTTTATCCCTGACAGTGCTTTCTGTTATTGGTGCTTGCATTATTTTGCAATAGGGACAGCCCATCAGAAAGCGAAGATAATCCCGTTAAGAATTAACAAATTACCATTGCTCATCGAGATGTGTTGAAATCATTTTAAATGTGAATAGCATGCTTTGCAAAATGCAGATATTAATGGGCTGAAACCAGTGTGGTCTGTGGATGCTGGTTACAGGCAACTTGGCTGGATTGTTTTCAGTATGAATAAATGGAAAAAAGAAGAAAAAAAAACAGATGTTTTGAAAACATTTTCCTCTTTCTTTATTATATATGTGATTAACCGTGGCTTCAGTAACCAGGCCAATTTTTGATAGAAAATGCTTTAAAAGTTACTAAGCACTGAGAGGTGTGGCAAATGGATGAACATGTGCATACATGTGCACATGTATGCACATGTCTCTGGCTGTCTTTGTTTACTTTTCTTACTTTTTTTGGCTTCAATACTCTTAGAAAAGGAAGAGAAAGGACTTCAGCTGTGAGGAGGTGGGTTACCTGCTGTCTGGAGTAAAGACGTATGGCTTCTCTTGGAACTTAATCTTGTGGTCATATCCCTTCCAGCCTGGGCGCACCAATGTTGACTTGGCCAAGAAGTACAGGCGACTAATGGTAAAATCCTTAAATTAAGTGTTTTACAAGTTACAGTGGCCTTAGAAGTTTTGAGCACAGTGTTACTTATTTCCAAACTCTAAAGGGATGACATGATTTACAAAATGCACAAAGGTAATTTCATACTTTCTAAAAATTATTTTGAGTAAATTACTTTTCCCCCCCATTCATTAAAAAATTCCCAAAACAAATTTCATCACCTGGTGTTCAGGAAGACCTAATTTGGCCAATTTCATAAATGTGTTTTTTACTCACCCGAAGTTTTTTCCCTTAAAAGCCTCTCCTTCAGACAGAACCTCTCATGAATCTGCATATACATCTCTTCTGATGATGTTTATTTGCAGAATTCTCTCAATGAATAACCTCTTCAGGAGACAGGCGAGGTTTTCTTATGACTCTTTCATGAGGTCATATTTGTGCAGATGTTGCTGCAGTGCACCACCACTCCTGAGTCTACTAAATCTGACTAGAAATGTAATCCTACTGCCATAGGATCAAAAGTTTTTGTTTTATTGGTCTTGTTGTTTTTCACCATTAAGTTGATCTTTCAAACCTTTTGAATTATGTAAGTGTCAGTTTTTGACTAGGGGTGCTCAAACTTTTGAATGCCACCAGAACCGCTAAACTACACAGACTTTAATTAGCTTCATTTGTCTTTTTGCCTTCAGAAACGTAAGGCCCAGGATGCCAGCCGTGCAGATTCTTAATCCTTGTTCAACCTAGGATTTGTTGATCAGCTGACTGGATTTACCTGTGAGGCCTTCATTCTCACTTCAAAAAACATTTCAATAATTTTTTTATGATCTCCAGCAGTATATATTCCTTATATTATACCTGGTGTACTAATTTTAGTGATTTGTGGTTTCAATGCAATATTGTCTCAAACCTGTTTGAGTTATGGTTTGAAAATGAAAATATAGCTGTAGATGTTATTTATTTGTGATTATTTGTTCATGGTTTATGTTCATTTCTTTGAGAATGAATTGTGCCCGAATTAAATTGATATTAAAAGGTAGATTTAAGCGATGCAAAAGCACCTATTGAATAATTACTATATTGTACCGCATAACCGTCTATCAGACTAACTGGCCTTTGAACAGTGTGTTCAGATAGTCAGTATAAGTATAGTTTTCCACATATTTATTTTTCTGTATCTTAGCTGTTTTTAGTCCAGGTCAGATTTACTGTATGGCAGTTTGGATAAAATCTGGTCATTAAAATGACTCTTGTTATATCATATGCATATTAAAGAAAGTGGTGTCTGTTTCACCAGTTATTAACCAGAGTTGTTTTCCATAAAGTTTTCAGGTAAAACAAGACTATTTAGATTATGTCTGATTGCTTCTTTTGCTTAGACCCTGTTAAGGCCTTGACATAGAGCATCACAGAAGCAAATGCCAAGTCCTGCTTTCTTTGTTTTTGTGCTTCAGTTCACAGACAGGAAATCAACAAGGGGAGAGGGGACTCAGGTCAAGCACTTTTGTTTATTGAGCTGAAAGCCTCTGGTATGACAGGAATCACAGTGCAAATCAAACTGCTTATCTTTCCCAGTGTGCCTCAAGAAGCAGCTCAGTCTGCAAAATGTGTCCTTTAAAGCTTAGCTTGACTGAGATCATTGTCTAGAGTGCCTCTCCCATTCTGTGGGGACTCATCAGTGTGTTGCTAAAATCATGGGTCTTCCCCATTTTCCATGCCCTGGGGTGTGGGCTGTAATAGTTTGAGACCTCATATAATAATGGAAGGGTGAAAGGGAATTTTTTACTGGTGATAGTTATACCCTGGCATTAAGCTTTTCCCGTCATTGATTTGTATTTCTGTTGAATTGGCAAAGTAAATGTGCAAATTATTGCTTATTTACATTTGCAAGTACACCCTCTTTCAATTCTAAGCTTTTGCATATCAGGATATTTTTAAAAAATCATCCAGTCCTTACCATGTTCTAAAATTTCTAAAAAATACAACAACCTACAACGAAAAACAACACAACATATTACACTATATTTATTTAACAAAAAGCTAAACTGCAGAAGTGGTATGTGAAAAACTAACTGCACCCATGTAGCTTGTAAAACCACCTTTAATAACAATAACATGAAGTAATCATTTTCTGTATGACTATCAGTCTTTCACATTATTGTCGAGGATATAAAAGACTGATACATGGCCTTACATGTGACTCTAGACTGATGTACAGAGGAGTTCACTGTCGACTTAATGGCTGCAAGGTGTCCGGATCCTGTAGCTGCAAACTGAGCCCAAAATTACCCCTCCACCACTGTGCACGTGGAGATATCCACAGCTGGGAAGATTGGAAACAGTCTTAAATGTTTTCCACTCATGAAAAAACAGGCAATGCTCCAAACCAGCACTATGCCAAAATCTCTGCTTTTATAGAGGTGCAAACATTTGCTAATTAATCAATTAATCAAATGTATTTGGTTAGCAGCACCTGTCGGCTGCTTTTCACATACTGCTTCTACATTGTGGTTTAAGCTTGTTATGATGTAATATCTGAGGTTGTGGTTACCCAGTTATAGGTTATGTTTTATGACCTGATAAATTAAACCACAGAATTGCAAAAGCGTGTGCTTTCTTTCCACATGACTGTAGATTAAAGTTTTAAGGCATTTAGGAGTGGCCTCTCATACCAGTGTCCTGACTACTCAGACAAGATTTTGGGATAGCAATGTAGTGAAAGCAAGGGGTGAAAGCAAGGGGAGGCATGTGAGGAACAGATTTCTCATGGACTGAAATGCAGTCACACTGAAGACTTTTGACCCAGGCCCCATGAAAATCTCCTTCCTCTGGAAAGAATGTGGCCTAGTCTCCCCCCTTTCTCCTCCCTCCTCTGATGTCCTCTCTCCCACGAGACAGTGAGAAGCTCCAGTCCCTCTTAAATGAACTGGGATTTGCTACATAGATTTCTATTGCCATTTGCAGAGTGCCCCGTACATGTAGTAGTTTGTCAAACATGCCCAGAGTATCTCCTATTTTTCTTCCCCCACAAAAATCTATTCCCAGAATCTTCAGTGTGACCAGATACTATAAAATATACCTTTGGAAAAACAGGGAGCAAGATTTTGATGTGTAAATGCCAGTTTATTGTCAAAGGCAACTACTTGACATTGAAAATTCATTTATTTTATTTAAAATTACATAAGATGACAATCATTCTGATTAGTGGATTATTGAAAATGCCAAGTATTACTATGTTAATTCATAAATGTGTAGTAGATACTCGTAACCAGTTGTGGAATGCACATGCCGTTTCCAGCTGAAGTTGCATTCTTTGTCCTTTACATTTATTTCATTAACCTTCTTTTCATTTTTCTTTTTGTTGCTATTTTTTTTTTTTTAAACAAAAAAGAAAACTGCTCAAATATATACAAGACACATTTAATTTCTGCCTGGATCTTCACAGATGAAGATCTCTGTCTAATAATGAAGCATTCTAGGTCACTCTTCTTTCCATCACAACACACACATGTACACACACACTGCTTTTTGGCACCTTTGGTTCATTTAACATTAAAAAAAAGGCTCTATTGGCATTAATGTGGGCACTTGGGTGAGACAAACCACTGTTTTTAGATCCATACACAATTTAGATTTAGAGGGTTTCACTTCCTTCATGAATCCTCTGATGGATTCACATCAGCTCAGTAGATGTGCTCATGTCTGTGATGGGAGTGTCATCAGGGACATTGACATCTCTTGGAATGAGGTCACTGCCAAGGTCATTTCCTCTCAGCTCCGAGTTCTTTGGGGTTTCACTAATGCTTTCCTCGTTGACATCACTTCCAAGCTTCTCCAAACTCTCTTCAGCCTCCACCTCCATCGGCTTTTCCAGATGCGCTTCTGCTGGCTTCTCTGGCTCAAGCATGGAAATGTCAGCAGCCTCATCCCCATCTTGGCATTCCTCACCAGCTGGGAGGTCTGATGGCTCGTCTGGATTGACTGGGACAGGGATGGGATCTTGGGAGGGCGCGAAATCAGGGGAACCAGAGTTGGTCAAAGGGGGCGAAGAAAGAACCGGTTCATGGAGAGAATCTTGTGTTAGTTGATCCGGCTGCTGCTCCAGATGCTCCACTGAGGGTGGTGCTGGCTCTGAGCTGGGCTGGACTATCTCAATGTCTGGTTCGGAGTCAGGAGCAAGCTCAGCTTCAGCAGCTGGTTCTGAAGGTGAAGGTGTGCTGGCTGAGACCTGAGGTTCAGGTTGGACTGGGGCTTCCTTTACCATAGGTGCTGGTTCTGTATCATTTTTCGGGGCTGAGGCACTGGAAGCCTCTGCTTCTTTAAAATCCGCGACACATTCTTCATTGGGTAAACATGCCACTGGTGTCACTGGCTCTCCCACCACCACATCTAGATCCTCCGTTTTGGCGGCTTCGTGAGTCTGTGTAACTGCAGAGTCGTTTCCTGGCTCCTTTGTGGTCTTCTCTTCAACAGCCACAGTTTCATGGGTGCTGGCTGGGGTTTCTCGCCTTCTGCTGAGCCTGTTTCCCATAATGAGCCTGTACAGAAAGTCAAAATGATAATAATAATAATAATGCCAAGAGAGATGCTTATTTGACTGGTGGAGATGAAATTTGAGTGTTTTAGTACATTATGTTCTTCTTCTTTGCACTGTGTGCTCTATTTTTTCTGAGAAGTCTAAATATATTTCTGGAGAGCCCAAGGACCAACTAAAGCACTTGTTTGATTAATCCTTTACTTCCTGTACCCTGATATACACACGCCGACCACAAAAAAACAAACAAACAAAAAAACACTCTGGACACATCATGACCTGTGCAGTCACAACTTTTGACCACTTCATAGACTTTCAGTCAACATCCCCTTACTTAAAAAGGTCAATTAAAGTCTTCAGATTCATTGTTGTTTTGTCTTTCTTAGATTCTATAAAATAATATGTTCCAGTCGCTTATAAAAACGAAGCATAACTCACATAACTAGTATTATGCGCTACTAAAAAAAAATGCAAGCAACATAAGTTAGGCAGTAAACATTAATATTTGGTGATCGCGAAAGGAAAAACAAGTTTTGCAGACGACCCCGCCTCCCTGTCGCGGTGCTCAGACTGTTAAATTGTATCCAAATAGTAGAGAAGGAGCAAAAACACTGTGGTTAAAATGTCTAGGAGGATAATAGTATTTCACCAACCTTTGTACTTTTGGCGTTGCAGCAGGTCTATATATATAAAGTTGCTGATGACTTTTCGTGGAGGAGACTGCTTGTTAAACCGCTCGAAGTGCGCACAGCAGAGAGGAGCTGAGCCCTGCACAGACTGCTGAGGCGCACATTCTCCGCGTCCACGGCGCGCGCTCCAGCGCGAAACCACTTAACTTCCTGAACCAGATTGGCTTCGTTGCCTTTTCTCGGTTACTAAACGTAAGTAAACAACAACAAAAACGATAATAATAATAATTAAAGGATCTGCCTTACTCAGTCAAACTAGATATTATGCCATTAAACTAAACCACTAAATTGTGTGTTATTAAAGCCCTGGACAGTTGTAGATTTGCTTATAGAAAGCTTATGCATTAGTTGTTCAGTATAGCCATGATGACAGGAACGTGAATACAGTTATATGACATAAGGCCTTCATATTGGGGAAGTAAACGTGCTGATCGGCTGACTGAGGCTGAACCCAAAACCACTGACACATTTACTGTAACATCAGTGTGTTCTTAAGCTGCAAGACAGTCAAACGTCTTTAGGATCTTTGGTACATTGAGCTTCTCTTTTCTGCTCTAATATACGTCATTCTCATGCTTAGTTTGCAGAATGTTTGTTTTGATTGATTGCATGACTCTTTATTTAATCTACAGAGTAGTGAGGATGTGGCCTGAGCAGAGAGCCCAATGTGCTGTGAGGAGTCCCGCGTGTCACGTTCGTGGGATCTTTCTGCTTCTCCTGCTTGTCATGGTTCAGATGATAATCTCCTTGGTGCCTTTTGATGGTGTGTTCATTCGCTCTGATAAAGTCCTCATCAGCCCCTACAGATTCTGTCAGATCCAACAAACTGGTGAATGGTCCTGTGATAATGTGTATAAGAGTCACCTGTACGAGCGATCGCAATCCCAAGGAGCTGAAGCTGAGACTTTATCTAAGCCACATTCTAACTCTGTCAGAGTAGCGGTTTACCTAGCTGTGTATGTTCCAGTGATTATTGTGGCGTTTGCCCTGATGGGCATGCATTCAGTCATCTCTGACAAAGACGAACCTGCTATCTTTTGCAGCACGACTTTCCAGGTCGGAGCAGCCTTGCTCACCCTGGCTGGCCTTTTCAGTTTTTTGTTTGTCTATCAGTCATATGTGAGCTGGCAAAACATAACCGTTTGGTTCTATATCTATTTGGGTGTGGTGATAGAGCTGGCTATCACATCTGTACTGACCCATGTGTTAGGTAAGCGACTGAGATCATACTGGGAATGCAGCGAAATGCTTAAGCTCATCCCTGCTTAAATGCAAACATGAGCCACTTTGCAGTTTAAATAAAGCGATTAATGTTGTGATCATATCACAAAGACCTTTGAGTGGTCAGTAAAACTAGAAAAGTACTATATTAATGCAATTACACATAAATCTACTTAGGAGAATATGTTGATTGCTGGTGCTGCAATATCACTTTGTATCTCTTTACCAAGTGGTTTATGAAAGCCAACACACATAATGTATAACACAACAAAAAATATGGTCTGTTGAGTCTGAAATGCACAGCTGGTGGATGCATGAGTGGTACCCTAATTGTGCTGACAGTTATTTCTATATAAGCTGTAAGGAATAAAGAATATATGTATTTTTTCAAAGTGTGTTCTTATATCTGCTACCTCATATATTCAAGGAGCAACAGTAATGTGATTTCTGTAACTACAATTTCTAGCTAATTCACATGAATAACAGTATGCTTTATGTTTTGGCAGTTTAATGCAAAAGCAAGGCTTTTTTCAAGTTCCCCCCCCCACAGAACAAGGCCACTTGTACTGCAGCAGTACCATGCTCAGGGTACTTGCAGGAACTTGTTAGGTCTTCTGGTGGAAACATTTCTAACACCAAACCTTTGTGGTGAAAAACCCACAGATGCTGTCAGTTTCATATACAGTGTCATGCATGTGAAAACAAAAAACTTTTTTTTTTCCTTCCCCCCATTAAAACCTTCAGTAAACCTAAAAAAAATGCCATGTTTTCAATTTTAGTGTTTGGAACCAAGTGAGAAAAAGAACAAACACAACACTTAAGTAACTGTCACACTGTAAGATACTAAAATAAGTAGTTCCTCTCACGCGAGGTGCTAGATGCTGCCACTGAAACATAGACTGAAGTGCTGAAATTTGATTTCAGTACAGAATCTTTGGTGAATTAATTACTTGTCTCCTTCTCTGGATGTAGTCCTGTAAAGCGCTGCTGGGATGTACCTCTCTGAGACACCAATTAATGGATCCATTCTCCAAACTGTTTCTTTGTGGATGAGCTGCCAGCTATGTGTCCTCAAGTACTGACTGGACTCTCACCTGAATTCGTAATTTAGGAAGCATTCCCCCAACTGACACTTTTCGACTTAATGCAAAAACTTTTTAGTGTCAATTAGATAAGTTAATCAGCTGAAAAAAATTTCCCGTACAAGGCGTAAGGCGTCGCTGTCCTCAGCTGCTGTCTGGGGTGATTCATGCGTCTTCCCAGCCTCCAAATCCTCAACTGTTCCTGAATGCCGACGCTCAGATGTTTGATGCTGCCGGCTGCTGGTGTACGGTAATGTTTCTACCGCTGTAATGTCCAAGTCTGATTCTGAAACATACGTCAAATCCAGATCTTCAGTGCAGTCTGATGGGGACTCCTCTGCAGCAACTGGATTCACTGTCAGCTGTGAATTTGTGGATTTCCCCATCTTCTTAACTGTGTCCACTGCTTTTTGTTTACCCTGGGTGTGGGAGAAGGGGAGATCAAGCAAATATTCCACGACAGTTAAGAGAGTAACCCACATGTGATGATTAGGAGTTTAACTGCACACAGGAATATTGGATAGAATGGACTTTCACATCATTATATTGCACGTATAGGGCATGTAGGGGAAAAAAAATCAAAGGTCTGAAAAGAGAAGCAGCACCACCTGCTGGTGAGTCACGAGTGTCAGCTCCTCACATGAGCCGTTTGTGACATAGGAAACAGCTGCTTCTACCAGCTCTTGCTCGTTCATACAGTAGAAAGCAGACCTGGGAACATATAAGTGGATTGGGTAAGTTTAAAAAAATTAAGGAGCTTTAAATGGGGCCTTAAACCGACCCCGATCGTGTTTCTAACGATAACTACCTGGCAGCTTTCCGCTTTCTCTTCAGTGGCTTCTTTTCTTGGCTTTTCTCCTCTTTCTTTGCCATCCATGCAGGCAGCGACCTGTGTCTTTCTGACATGTCGCGCTCTTTACGTCGTACGCAGCTTTACAACATTTCGAAAGTCTGCCGCAACATCACGTAAAAAGAAACGAGACTAACCTGTTTACAACACGGCTTGCACGAGCTCTGGTGCCGCTGGCAACCAATCACAGCAGAGAGTAACCGTGATGTCACCGGCTGACAGAGTCGCTAGCGACACCTGGCGGACAAGGATGTAATGGCACCATACAGCCACGACAACAAAGGATTAGCAAACGGCGGTTTTCAAAATAGTGATTCAGACTTTATTGTCCGCTAGATGGCGGTAGAGCTCTACTTTTTTTTTCATTTAATGCCTGTAAGGAATCTAACCCCCACCTTCACCCACCCCGCCCTTTGTGCTTAAAACCTGTAGATTTGCTTTTTATTTCAGCACTCATGAATGGAGACATTATGTAATCTCACTGTCTGTCCCAGAGATACAATATTTGAAAGGACCTTGAGAAAATTTCTTTGACTTCAAGACTCAAAAGTCACAGTGAACTCACAGAACATGTGTTTTCCCATACTTTAGGATCAACAAAAATTCTAGTAAGACAAAATCGCGACATCATAACATTTATATCAAAAAGGTCAAAGGCAAACTTCCCAGTAGCATCATATATTCTTGACATTATTTGTGGTTATAATTTAAAGAAACCACATGCTGCTCCATGAGAGATTGTGACTGTTTCACATTTGTCTTCATTCTGCAGTGGTGATAATAACATTTTGTAACCAACCTGAGTGGTGGGCAGAGGCATGAAAACCACAAGGTAAAGTTTTAGTTTGAGGGAAAATAGCCAGTTTTTGTACAGTATCTTCCATATTTTCCTTTCTTCCCCCTTATCTTACATTAATATTTTGGCACATGGTGCACTGTACATTCAGAACTGAGCTTGACACAGATTAAGCTGTTGTTCTTACTGCTGAATCTGTTTTGAAAAAGGGTGAGAGTGAACCTCTCATCTGTGAAAAGCACATGGCACCTGTACTCGTCCTGCCCACTAGAGGATGTATGGCCATGACCACATGCTCATGAATGCTTCTGATTGCTTGGTCAGAGACATTCACACCAGTGGCCTGCTGGAGGTCATTTTGTTGCTCTGGCAGTTCTCTGGAGCAGATACTAGTCATGCTCATGATTTATAGATCTTCTACAGCTCTGTCCAGGTCTCTTAGAATAACTATCTGTCTCCTGGAATCTCCTCCACGCTCTTGAGACTGTACTGGAAGGCACAGCAAACCTTCTGGCAATGGCACATATTGATCCTGGCAGGGTTGGTCTGCCTGTGCGACCTCTGTAGAGAGTAGTGACACTGACCCTAACCAACCAAACAACAAACATTCAGTCAGCTAAGATGAGGAGTAAAAACACATCACTGGCCTCCACCTTTAAAACCATTCCAGTTTTTTTGTTTTTGTTTTTGAGGAGTATAAATAAGTGAATCTACAAATAACTTTAAAAAAATAATAAAACAATTCTAAAAGTGGTAAAGAAGAATGTGAACACTATTATGAATAAAACAATAAAAACATCAGTATAAATAAACATCAGATAAACTTAGGCCATTTTTACCTTGCTCAGTTTTTATATTTGCTTTTATACTTTTATGACTGTTTATATCTAAATTTTATCTACCATGTTTGCTATATATACATTTTTCTTATGTTTTTTATGGTATGTTTACGTGTTACTGTAAGGTGACCTTGAGGGTCTGAAAGGCGCCTATAAATAAAATGTATTATTATTATTATTATTATTATTATAAACATCATTAGCCAGTACTTAATCAATAAGAAATGTAGCTTAGCTATTTCCACTTCAGTTTATGATAAGTGGATGGCACTGATAGCAGATTGAGTTTGACAGCTTACAGACGCACTTAAAAAATGCACCACTATCACTGAAAACAGTTAGTCTAGTGGCACATTTCTGTTAATGATCCTTATGCTCCTCCAGTTAATACACAAATGCGTGGGCCCAAATGTTAAATTATGTGTTGTAAAAAAACGCACAGTTATATACAGTATACACAAAATTCAAGCACCATTTGCAAATCTCTTTCTCTTTCCATGTCATTGCACACTTACTTGTGCACACATATGCTCGCTTTATTTTGCTGGAAGTAATCAGGATCACAAGTACTGTGAGTGCAATTAAAACTGTGTTCTAAGTCTGGTCTAATCTAATTTCCAATCTCTCGCCCAGGACTTTCTATTGTCTCAGCTCTTCTGCAGATTCAAGCACAAAAACGCAGACGTAAGCTAAAATAAATAAATAAAATAATAGTAATCTTTACAGACCAGTACCACTTTCTGATTTGTGTCCTCTCGCTTTAGAGATACAGTTAAATGCTTGTAGCTGTTAAAATGCAATCTGGACATGCTGGAGTGCTGATGATCTCTAGCCATGTGTGACTTGATCTTGCGGGCCATCAGTAGATAATCTGTCCAGCTGCATGACACATTTCTTTCTCGCTCTTTCACTCTACTCCTTTCTCCCCCCTCTGTCCTTTTATCCTCCTCTTTAAATCACTGATGTTCTAAACAACCTTGCATCAGACTGTCACTTTCTGTCACTTTGTACACCAAAACTGCCTTCTCTCACTCTGGCCTTTTAATTATGTCTCTAAAGCCCCTGCCTACAAGTGCTTAGGCTTTGATTACAAGGACCGGCTTTGTATGTTTGACTAAATTAAAAAGTGGAAAAAAGGGACACAAAAAAAATCTCAAGGCAAACAGCATGTTAACAGCAAGATGTGTTCACAATGTAATTTTCCTTTAAGCTCTTAAGTTCACTGCATTTTAAGAAAAAACAATAACCAGCAGCCTGAACTGGCAAGAAAAATCCTCAAAATCTCCCACGATATTATTTTTATTTATTCTTACAGATTGCACTGAAAAGGGGCTTTTAACCAGCAACAAACTGTATTAGTGACTATAATTTGGAATAGCTTTTAAATCCACCAAGCATGAATTATGAGTTTGTCACTTTTAAAACGCCTCACTAACTCTGTGTGCGGTATTTACAACTTATCATCATCATTAACTCAGTGGCATCACTGCAAAATCAAAAAAATCATATATAAATGATCTAAACGTAAAGACACACACACGCACGCAAATCTGTGTAGACCCCAATATAGTATTGGACTCATCCTCCTCCAGGCTTGCTGCCACATCCACAGATCAGGCTGTGCTAAGAAGATTTCTGTTTGCCAATAGAGTAAATCTTGTCGCTGCTTTTCTAGCCTGCTGAATTTGTGGGTCAGACATGCCCGAAATGTGCTAAACTTGAATATCACCACCATGATTTTGTTAAACACTTTTTAAATGTCTTTTTCAGTAGTAACCCTCTTTTTTTAAATTAATTATTTCATTTTTTGTAACATCTTCT